TAGTGGGGGATGGGAAGAGTAATCGTACCGGACATTGAGGGGGTCGTACTTCGAAAATATATTCCCTAGCGGCGGGGTCGTGCCTTGTCACGGAGATCCGGCTAGAGGAATAGCGCTCAGTCGCAGATGTGTGAAGGTGTGCGTAAACAGTGCGTAGTAGGACAGGCATAGAATTTTTCATAGTGTATGCTGCGTGCAAGCATCATCCTCCTCTATTCCAAAGATTTGGACGCAAAATGTCTACTTCACAATATTTTTGTTTGCTGTAGACCTTGAGAAAATTCATCTCATTTTCCTCGAAAAGAACTCGTTAAGATCGCCCACGTCGCAAAGATTGGACGGAAAGAAAGAGCTTGAGTCAGGGTGCCAAAGCCGATGGAGAAAGCAAGAATAATCAACGGAATAAGGAGAAGGACAACAACCCAGCACATAAGAGAACAAGAAGTACAAACTGTGAGCGATTACTCCTATGATTTTTTATGCACTATTAGAAACTATCGTAAGGCCGTTTTATTCTTTGCGCATAAGAAAAATTCCTATTTCAACGGGTCCGCGATTCGAGAGATTGAACGTTTCACTAGTTTGCGCAGTAATGGATTCCTGTCTGATCTGTTGTCGCGCATTCTCCCGAAAGGCGTATTCTTTCGAGCTATAGGTTCTCCAGACTTGAAAATGTGAATGTTGCTTAATGGTGTGATTTTGTGATATTTTTGCCGAGAAGCTTTAAGTACTGTAAGCTGCTTTAACGAGCACTAATAGGTTCAATTCAGGAGGCGCGCCATCACGGTCAAAACAATATACCGGCGCTGTTCATCGATGGGGGGCATTCTGCTTTTCATAGATTTGCTAACCCAGGTCTAGGTACCCTTTTTCAGTTGACACGTTTTAGGATGGCTAGACGATCTTGCTCCAGCTTCACAAGCGTTCACAAGTTTTACCAGAGTGAGATTTGTAAACCGGAACCAGGGAAGCAATTATAATACAAAATGCCCCCCCCCCCGTCGATAAACAGCGCCCAACATACCTAACCAGTTAACTTGATATAGCCCTTTGGCGTCAAGTCGGTCTTGTGATGGCAACTTCGATTCCTCGGCCTTCCCTCGAAAAATAGTCGATTGGTTGATTCTCTTGATTCATAATTTGAGGATGACCGCCAGACTTTGCTCATCGTTCAACGGTTTGAAGCCGCGAAATAAAAGCCGGGACGTAAGCTGCAATAATCGATTTGACGCGAAAGTGCGGCGTCAACTAGTTGGAAGTACTGGATCGTACGATGCCGCAGCTCACATGTCCTAAACAACAGGGGTGGCCTTGAAAAAAAGGCCATCCGTCCGTGAAGTGTCCCATTAAAGTTTACCTCGCAAGGGGTGGCATGCTACATGAAGGATTTAATGATTCTAAGACGTTCCTCTCATGATGAAGCACTACGCCTCAGCCCTTACGTTACGAAAAGGTGAAGCCATCCGTCATCTCCATTGAGCTCAAGGCGATCGGAAATCGCGTCAGCTTGAACTAGCTCTGTAGTATACATGGGGAGAGCAGCTATAGTGGTGAGGAAGATCAACCATCCACTTTTCCGCGCAACGCCGCTATGACCCATAGGTTATTTCTCATGACTCAAGCCCGACAGTCGACCTTATCGCCAATCGCCATATGATCCCTGGCACTAATATAGTGCACATAGTGGAACTTCGAAGAAACCTCACAATGACGCCGTCCAAACGAGACAGCACGAAGGCGAGGTATTGAGCTACAGCGGCTGCGGTGGCGTATTGTGGTAGGAGCGCTATCGGCCCATTGCATTCACATAGTATATTTTGAAAGGTATAACTTTATTTAGGAGCCATCTTCCGCTGAGCGGTAAGAACGATTCAAGTTGTGTGGCCTTGGCTCTATACGAAATACAATATAGGTTTCATCAGGCTTTCGTGAGGGCTTCTGGCTAGAAATCAACGGGGCGACCGCGTTTTCTTCTCGTTTCCCTGGGAATAACTTTGTTTAGACATAACATAGAACGGAGCTGTACACGGCATTGAAAATTAGACGGTTCTATTTTTGAATGAGCACAACAGCTTTGCTGTAGCTCAGTTGTAGCGAAAATTCGCACGTCGCGGAAAATCACAAAATAACGCGGAGAATTTTGGCGAACGCGAGCTTTTTACCTTGCAAAAGCCACAATTTCGTTCAGACGTAACTTAGAACGAATGTTCACATGATGAGAATAACAGAAGGTTTCATCTCTGTAATTAGTGCAGCACCTTTGCTTTAGCCTGATTATAGCAAAAAAAATAGCACGTCGCCGATTCCTATTTGAACCATCTTCAGCCGCAGCATGAGGATCACCCCGTAGGGTACGCATCGTTGGTGTGAAACGCACAGGAAGTCGTCTTTTTTCTGGGCAAGGGTGGGGGATGGTTCCGTATTTGGTTTGCGGAGAGAAGTCGTATGATTCTGTGATAGAAATTGTTCGCGGTGGTTGCTCTGGTTGCAGCATTTTTTGCGTAATTCTTTCCGTTTCATCGCCACTATACCCCCCCCCGCTCACCGCTCGAATCAGGTGAAGATTAGGGTAGAATTTAGGAAAATTAGGAAATATCTTCAGGAATTCGGGAAAAGGTGGTAGGGAGTGACAATTCTCCCGTTCAACATGGATATATATCCCCCCCGAACGGCAAATTTGCGGTGTAAAACTGGAAAATGTGGCGGGGCAATTGGTAGTTGGTTCTGGGAACGGGGATGGGGGCGGGTGGTGGTACCTCGAACCCTCATTATAGGTGGGAGGGGGTGTCCGTACTGAAGCTTTTGTCGGGGAGGTCCCTATCTACACCAGCACTTTAACCACCCTACGTCACGATGCGGTGGCCCCGTTCTCCAAAAAAAGCCCAGCTGTAATCATCTAGAAAGCTCGATTTCCATACACATCCTCTTCATTGCGCAAGAATTGAATTGTCACGCCACGAAGGTATAGTCAACTTCAGAATGCGCCATTCCTGAACGCAGCCAAGCCTGCATGCTAGTTGTTGTGCGGCAACTATGTCTCTGGCATGTATTTCTGGTTGATCGCATGACTAAGCACGAGTATTCAAGTTTCTTTCTCACAAAAAAACTTTCTCAACGGTTGCATGGCGCGGAATTGTTCTCCTCTGTATTGATTTTGCATAGGAGCACTGATTTATCTATGTTGTGTAGGTTTTAAGATCAACAGCCACGGATATTATTCGAAGCCTCGCGTGGTCTTTGTTTCTATGGTTTCCATAACGCATATCAGATTTTGCGTTCTAACTCTCAACTTGTTTACACATCACTCACATCATAAATCTTTTCATGCAGTACTTGAAGCACTTAAATCTGAATCTGAAAAATTCTGAATACTGCAGCTATTTACGGGGAGAATGTGATCCAATGCGGTTGGCTCCAGATACCGGGATGTGTTTGTGTCGCGTAGGTTACCGCTGAGATAGGAAAAAGCTTTTCGACACTCGCACCATTTCGTGCTTCGTTCCTGCGGCGCGTGACACAATACGGCTTATGCTCGCGATTGCTCGTACACTGTCTTGATGTCCTAATCCTATTCGTTCCACTTGAAAATTGGAGCCTGATGGTGGCATTGAAACGATTGATTGTTGATTGCAAAATTTCCTTTATCCTGCTAAAATGTTTAGTTTGAATGAGTTCTATAAAGCTTCGTTTAGCAAATGGAAAACGCCGCGAGAGAGATTCGACCCGCACGAATTCAATGGCCAGCAACGGTGAAGGTTTCGATTATAGCGATGAATGTACGTTGTTTTGTACTTTTTTATTGAACACTCTCTTTATTTTTATTTATTTTAAAAGCATCTACAGGTTCAAAGTGGGAGTAGGTTGTGATTAAAGATTCCAATGACAAATATGCGATTACACAAATTTAGAATAGAAAGCGCTGAAACCGCCCCTCTGCCCCCCTCCCGCCCCTAAAATACCTTAGAATACTATGGTGAACCGCGCTGTACATATTCGTATCAGCTCCTTCTATCACTTCGTTCCACCAACTGTAATGAAGAGAGTAAGTAACGGAATGACCTGCAGATCACAGGTAGGCTAGTTACTCAACTCCATTTCCCGGCTTCCTTTTAATTGCCAAGCAGAGGCTGGATTCCAGTTCTCTGATGATTGTTGTAACGTTACATCTTTTCAGACGAGCTGGATGAGCCTTTCAGTGACTCGGACGATGACCTCCGACCGAAACAACCAGAAAAACCGAACCTTATAATACCGCGTGGTAGGATCAGGTACACCTGTTATAACACATTGTCAATATGAGTGACATGGGATTCGTGACTGGGGCTTGTTGTACTTTCAGTGCCGGCTTTTTCTAAGCTCATATGCTCCTTTTTATAGAACTTTATCCGGTACTGTACCAGTTGTTGGTTATTCTCCGAAGTGGGGTGGACCAACGATGTGTCTCAGCTGTTTGCAGTTCTTCGATCTTCCTGAGCAAATGGATATGTTTGAAGAGTGAGAGCTTCTCATATGAATTTCTATAATGATGTTTTTCATGAGCTCCTTTTTCAGCCATCTCCTGAAAGAACACAAAATCGTCGTTTCTGAAATGGGTCTTATCGTCGATCCGAAAAGGTATTTTCCTTGTCGGTAGTTTCACTCATTTTAATTAAATAACAGGTACAAGTTATTCCTATCAGGATAATCTTTTTATTTTGCACACTGTATTGCAGATATGTCGAACACTGGCGTCAACGTTTCGCAAAGGAAAGCGTCGATATGATATTCCCACGCGTAGAGCCAAAGGAAGGGGATAAATATTTCGGTATGGTGCAATAATGAAATGATATTTCACTCCATGTCCAAATGCCGTTTTGTTGAACACAATTGTTGTAGGAGAAACGGACTACTATTTCAACATGTCGGAAGCGTTGCCGGAAGATTACTCTGTACGTCAGCGATTGGCCATGCGTCGCCTTGAGGAAGCACTTTCATGCCAACAACGAGAGAGGTACCCACATTGGAAGTAGATGTGTTTTGTAGACAGGGCACGTACTATGTTGAGGAATCCTCAGCGGATGGGTCGTTTGGTTGAGAGAAATTCTTTATACTGCACTGAATTTTTCTTGTTTCACGTCCTTCCAATGGGAGGGGAGGGGGTCGTGCTCGTCGTTGGGAGAGGAGAGGGAGGTTTTGCTTGCCTTTGAGAGAAATTTGCCGCAATGAAACGAAAACTTCTTCAGGTTGTTCACCTTTCGCGGCTTATCCCGTTTCAGTGATGCTATATACCAGTGCTCCCACACCCCACCCCCCGCTCGCTCGACAGCAAATTTTTTTGTGAAGAAGGGGAGGATTTTTGGGAAATTTCGGACAAAATAGTAGGAAAGTTGGAGAATGGGGAAGGGGTGGGGTTCATAGCAGAGGACGAAATTGAGGGGGAACCGTATTTTGCAGAAATTTTCTCCAGCGGTAAGACGTGCCCTGATTGTAGACTCTCGCAGTCAAGAATTATTTGTTTTCAGGGAAGATACCAATTTCCAACAGCAATGCATCTTTTGTCGCTATACAGCCCGTGGTAATAGGTCTAAAATTATTCATCACCTTTACATGATTCATCATCTGAATCTCGGTTCTCCGGATAATCTCGTTTTCGTCACCGAGTATATCGAACACCTCAAGGAGAAGCTACAGGTCATTTCAACTTTTCATTCTCGTATTTAGTACTACATGGAAATTTTGGTAGTGCTATTGCATCATTTCGATCCTGCTGAATCATGCTTGACGTTCAGCCTGCGTTCATACTTTGCGTCAGCGTTTTAAGCGTACGGTTAAACGTTTTGAGCGCTTCGAGCAAGTAGGAAAGTATAGATATGATCTAGCGTTTTGAGCGTGTGTCTCCGTTTTCAGCGACAGCGTGCAAATTTCATAACCACTTGCGAAACGCTCAGTGAGTTGGCATACGCTCAAAACGTTGGATCATATCCATACTGCCGCAGAATATGAACGCAACCTTACCGTCTCACCTGTTTTCAGAGAAACGAGTGCATCTATTGTGAGAAGACCTTCGGTGACCGCAACATTCTCATGGACCACATGCGAAAGAGAAATCATAGAGAAGTGAGTGTAACGGAAGCTTTTCGAATGTTCTTTTTGTGAGTTCTCGGTTCTGATTTGTTCGAGACTTTCTATCCTTATCTAAAACCTTGTAGGTTAACCCCAAGAATCACTACTATGACAAATTTTACATCATCAACTATCTGGAGCTTGGGAAACGTTGGCTGGACGTACTCGCTGAAGACTTTGAGGACACGATGCCAACGTTCCTTGATTCGGACGAGGAGGAAGAGGAGTATGTTCACTGTTCAGCTTTCCCTCTTGTTTATCTTTTTCCTTTGACAAAATCTTCGCCATGGCATTACCGCTAGACTTTTTAGCAACTCATGGTGTGAATGGCAGGAGGATAACGTAGATGCGGATGAGACTCGAGTTGTTTGCCTTCTATGTCATGAGAGTGACGATACCGCTGAGGGTCTTTTGGCTCACATGAAGGTATGACACTGGTGTTTTGACGATTCTCCTCAAATTGCAAATTCAAAGGAATTCGGACGTGAATTTATCTCCCACTTATTGCCTTCTGACTCTTGGTGGACCTAGGAAGATGAATTTGTGCAAGGTGACACACTTCAGAGCTTATTCTAAAATTGCTGGTGTAGTCCAGGACATCCATCCATCGCGCACAGCTAGCGTTCCTGACTAGTTGCCTTGGAATAGTCATAGCTAGTTGACATGACAACCCTTTAGCGTGAAATCACTTGTGCTGTGCCAGCCTATGCAGATTATTTGACGGTTTATAAAACTGCTTCTTCTCTAAGTTTCGAAGGTTATTGTCAAACCACTCAGTATTCGTCTTTTTTTTATGAAATTCTTTCAGTGATCATCAAGACTTGGAATAGAGTAGACATCCTACTGACAAACTTTTTTTGTGTCTCCAAATAAATGGGAAGGCACTCAACTGCCACGACATAAGTGATTTGGCGCCCAAAGTGCTGTGGAATCAGCTAGCAGGGAACGCTGGCTAGTTGATATCATGATGCAGCGCCTCAGACGTGCTGAAATATTCCCTTATATTCCACCTGAGATCCTATTCCACTTAACTTCCTGAGGCTTACTGAATGGGAATAATGCTCTTTTGTTTCAGGAAAAACATGAGTTTGATCTAGTGAAACTGATTGATGAGAACAGACTTGACGTTTATCAGCGCATGAAACTCATCAACTACATCAGAAAACAGGTTGGATGAATTTCGAGTGTTCGAATGGACCGTTAAGTCTAACTGAGTTTCAGAATTTCAACGCGGTTTGCTTTATTTGTCAACGCAGCGATCTTGGAAATACTCAGGAGCTCGCCAAGCATTTGCAAGAACATGAAAAACCGATTAAGGTTGTCTTTATTTGAAATGATATTATTTTCATTTGGAACAACCAAACACAAGCACTGGCTAGCGGCTTAGTAGCGTCGCTGAGTCTTGTGCATCTTAAATCATTGTCTCTGACTAGTGGAGTGGAAATACTTTAGTATTTCAAGTAGCAGCTTGCGATTTTCTGCATAGTCTTGTCACGAAAGTCTATATCGCAGGCATTTGTAGGACAGTTGCCATTAAGACATGAAAGGGTGCATAAGGACAGGTGGGAAGCCAGGAGCTGGACTTTATAATGGGATGTGGTCATGGGAAGGACGAGACACTCATGGTGCTTGTATAGCTGAAGCGTCCAAAGTCGCGGTGACAAATATATTCGTTAACCGTCTTTTAACGCAGTCTCTAGTTACACATATATGAGGAGGGAGGGCTGCGTATTGCGCTTGAACAGGGCTCAGGAAGCGGTTTTCGCGGGATATTTTCATTTGAGACAGTCATGCTGTCTTATGTTAGACAAAGACATGAATACAATTCCCAAAACGAAAATATCCCACCAGAAGCTCAATTCCTGCCATATTTGGTGGAAGTTTCAGTCACCCCTTTCTATAATCGGGGTACGAAGGGTAAGTTCCTAGAACCTGGTATCTCGCTGACAATACGAATCTGTCATAAAAGTAACCCTTTCAGAGCCTCCCGGATAAATCGCTTTGGGATACCGAGGAGTCTCTGGTACCAATTTTCGGCAATGATAATCTCCTCTGGAGGCTTGAATCACTTTTGGAAAGTCGTGATGGAGCAAGTGATACCGAGGAGCGCACTCGTCGTGAAAGCGAAAAAGTTTATGCTTCATTCGTGGCTGAGAGTCGAAAGAACACGGTAGAGGGGGTGAGTGAATTGGCTTTCCCCTCTTCTCAATAGGTTGAAAAACAGTGTTTCTTCAGGTCATTGCTGAAGATCTACCAGATCTGCACGAACTGAAGGAAGACGACCTTGACGAGCTGATGTGAACTGGCTCTTTGTGTTGGGCATCTATCGACTTCCTACGCTTCGGATAACTCCCACCAAGGCGATTGTTTTGTTACTTCTTGAGACCTTCCCTTTCCTCTTGTACATTCATAGTTGACCCGCAATCAATATGCAAATTCATGCGCGCTTCTCTAGCAGTGTCGTGTAGTATGTAGTTTGCAGTAGTTTCTTCACGGTTTTTCTAATTCACTGTTAGCTAATTGCGCTAATTTCTTTCATAACATCTACATGCGCTTGAGTCATTCTTCCACTTTTTGATATCACATTGGATTTCATCATTTTATATGGTCAGATTTCTTGTTTGCCTTTTATTGGTAGTTTTGTATTTTCCTACATTTTGGGGATTCCTGTACCATCACTGGCATGTATGTTTCGCCTTTCACAACATTTCGTTGATTCAACTTCATTCGTAATATACTCACGTTCTCTTGTCCGTGTCTTCCCATTTTACGCTCGTGTTCTATTTCTACTTTCCCCCTATTCTTTTTACCCACTTACCCTGTTATTTTACAATATTCACCGCAGAGCAACCATGTCGTACTGGAGTCACGTTCCCTGTGATTTGCCAGCCTGTTCATTCAAGGAATCGTGATTCCCGGCGTTGAACTGGCTTCACATTATTTGGCCGCCTTTGTTGTTTCATTTGTGAAAAGGTGCCGAAGCTTTTCAATCGCTGATTGTCCGTTAACGAGTTGCCAATTCATTCATCAGAGCGTTGTTGGAACTTGAATGTTGATTAAAGTTTATAAAGAAGTACTTCACTATTTATGGTCACATTTGTCCTTCGATATCGCCTCGCTGCGGCAATGTGAGTTTTGCAATCAACAAACTGATATGTTGCATTTTCTGTCCGACATAGGTGATGCTGACGTTTTGCCGTAGGGTGAACATATGCTTCCTACGACAAGCATCAACTCTGCTTCTGGTGAGACCGGCTCCAAGGTGCTGTGTTGCAGAACAGGGAGCCTCTTCAGGTTGTGCTTCTGTCCTAGTAGTTCCTGCTTAACACTATTCGGGATGTGCGGGTCATTTCTTCCTAAGCCGTAGCTGTTCACACTTACAATCCTAGCGTGACTAATAGTAACCCTTCTAAACGCCATTGTTCCTGTTTTAAAGAGACTCGAAAGGAGCGTAAAAATTGGACCCTAACATACCTGAAGCGTACCACCGAGCCACGGCGAATCTGATGGTTCAAAATCTTCCGTGACAGTGATCTCTTCCTTCACGGAAACGAAGGAGGCACAGACTAGGGTCGAAGACAGTAGCGGCTCCAATTAACACTTCAAGATTCCTAGCAAAGAGCCAAACGGGTGCTATAATAACTCCACCTACTCCACTTACTAACTCCATTTGCACATGATGCTTTACTGTTTACACGCGATGCTTTGCTCATGTAATCACTCAATCAATCCACTTCGCGTACTGAGGGCTACATGCATGGCACGACTCCAACCCAGCCGACGCCGAGTTGGCTTTAATGTGCACAGTGTTCCACCGAGCCTTCCGATCTCAGAAATAGGAAAATAGGGGGATTTTGACCACCAACACAACTACGTCTTGTTTTTTTTCCTTGCGACTGAGACTGTTGAGCCTGCGTAGCTGCACTCCAACTGCCGACTTATAGTTTTGGAGGGAGCTAATGGGCGGCTTCTGCTCAACTATCCTGCGTCCTTTTCTGTCCATTCAGCTTGATAGAAGGGAATCATTACCTCGGAAGATTTTGGATGTTGCTGGGATCGCAGGGGCTTGAATGCCTTCCGGTTAGTGAGCAGTCCATGCGCTCGCTGTTCGAGTGTCTCCAGATTAGGGAACATGGGTATGCAAGGTGTTTCTTGTGGGTAATAGTGGAGTATAAAAAGTGAGCATGTCTATTGATAAGGGTAAGAAGATAAGCCGCCTTATCACCGAACTTTATGATGCTAGCCAGCACGAAAGTATCAAGAAAAACGCTTAAATTTTGGTTCCAAACGTTTCAACATATCCATAAAGAGAAGTTGTTTAAGAATGTAGGATTAAGCATTTTGCTATGTTTTCTTGCCCAATTTTAGGTAGAACAATAGTTGGGGCTCTGCATTGCGCTGGTTATTCGCATAGATTCCTTATCTCGGTGAATGACTAGGCAAATAACTTACCCAATACAGTTTCCGTTAAGCTTAGATTGTCCTTTATCAGACTAACACAGTGATCTCTTTCCACTATTTCTTATTTGAGACCTTACCACCACATCGCCAGGGTTTCTGGTTTTCTGTATTAACCGTGAGCTTGGGTAAATGCGCTTGGGACTTCCAGAAATTTCGTCTCCGAGCTCATTTTAAAAGTGGCAAGATCACCAAATCCGCTAAAAACTTGTATATAGGGGTAATTCAACATCCTGATCACGAATATGACATTCATTTTTGGCGCTGGCGCTAATGGATGACACTACGGTTACCTGCGCTCTGCTAAGGCTGAGGGCCAGGGGGGAGGTAATGTAGTTGCTTTCTTGGCGCCGTCGCAAGAATGAGTGTCTACTCGTGATTAGGATGGTTTAATTACTCTATATAATACAAGTTTATTCAGTGAGCTTTGGTAATTAGGCAATATTGAAAATGAGCGCTCGGAAGCCCGAATTTCTGGAGTCCAACGGCATTCAGGCGTGAGCTTTGGCTCGCATCCTCAAAACAAATATTATGTCCTTAGTACAACTCTTTCTTTGACGTTAGTGAAGAGTACAACTCTTCTGCGTAGTGAAGTACTTTTTTATGGGTGCCCTTTCAGAACGGGTTATGTAGAACTCAGGTTAAGCTTACAAACTCACCGGCTTAGTATTAAAAGTGTGGTTGCGTCCCCATGCTGACAACTTATTTCCCGCTTTTTTTGCAGCATTGCAATTTAAAATATGTTTCTAGGAGACATGAAGCTCTTGATGTTGCCAAAGAGGTTCTACGCGGACAAAGGTAGACGTGGGAAAAGGAAATTCGTTGACCCAGTGATTGTTAAACATACGAAGAGTACCAAGGAAGTCGTGGACGTCTACAGCGATATGACGGCTAAGTATGAAATCATAAGCATTTCGATTATCAAGCATTCCTATGGCAACTAATCACAGGGAGCTTGCTGAAGCGTTGAACGTGGATCTGGACGCTGTCGTGGAAACGCTCATCGAAATGGACAAAAATAATCTCGATTTAACAGCAGATGATAAAGCATTAGATAAAGAACATATAATCAAGGTATGTTTCATTTTCTGGTTGCTTATCAAATCCAATCTAAAACCGCATTCAAAATAATGTAGGCAGTTGCACTTTTCAATTGCAAACCACGTCTTGTATCTAGGCAGCGCAAGAAGAATGAATCAGACACTGACGACGTTTTACCGCAGTGAGTTTTGACTCCTGTTCCATTGAAAAAGGCTTTATCATTGTAAGGAATGCTTATGATTCTCCAAACGAGAATATGACCTATACAAAATGTTTTCAGTTGCAGACGCAAATTTTGCAGGCCCCCTCCGGACCCATCAGAATTAGTGAATCGACCGCCTGTGGTTACTATTATGGGTCATGTTGACCATGGAAAAACCACGCTGCTTGATGCCTTGAGGAATAGTCATATTGTTGCTGGGGAATTCGGTGGAATCACACAACATATAGGAGCATTCTCAGGTTCAGAGAATGATTTTACGTTACCTATTGAGGCCTGTTTGGAAGATGATGAAATGCTTGTTTTAGTAGATTTGAAGGGAATTGGTCGAAGAGTTACGTTTCTGGATACACCTGGCCACGCAGCATTTGCAGCTATGCGCGCACGAGGGGCCAAAGGCGCTGATATTGTTGTACTGGTTGTGGCAGCTGATGATGGTGTCAAGGAACAAACCGTGCAAAGCATAAAGTTGGTCGTTTTCTGTGTTCATATTATGTAAATGTCAAGTACACGCATCTGGAGGTGTCGCGAACCGCGAAAATGCGCGACGAAGGACTAGATGAGAATCGATTGACTCCGCTCAAGGGTTTCGGGAAATCCGCGAATTCTGCCGTCTCAAGATGTTGTCAGCCGCGGACCCTCCAGTCCCCTTTATTCTTTCTTCCTCCTTTCTTCTCTTTCCTCCTTTCTCTCTTCTTCCTTGTCATCCTTCTTTCAAATGCTCGACCAGAAGATGCGATGGGAAAATATCACCAAAACTCAAAGCGAGAGAGCATCCGGTAGCACA